GTTGTAATGGCAATGAAAGTAATGTTATAATATAGAGTAGGGGGTGGGGGATGAAGGAGAGTTTTGTGACGGGAATAATGGAGGGGGTGGGGTCGCAGTAGGGGGGAGGAGAATAAAAATGAAGCTTATGTAATCTTGTTGCTGATTTGTTTAGAATTTGGAAAATAATTTTTAGTTTAGCTTTTTGTTTCCCTTGATAATAAATGTATGAATAATTCTGAATGACCGTTTTTTTGCGTTGGGCCGCTGAATTGATAAAGTTTGAAGTGGAAAGACAATAGAAATTGTTTCAAGCATGCTGGAATGTATTGGTTTTATTCAATGAGGAGAATAATTAACTGATAGGCCCAGGTCAAAAGATTATATCGGATTATGGCTCAGGTGAATAGAATAGATGGGTGTATGCCTCAGGTGTATAGAATAGATATGTCTAGACTCAGGTGAATAGAATAGATATGTCTAGACTCAGGTGAATAGAATAGATATGTCTATGGTTCATGTGAATAGAATAGATATGTTTATGGTTCAGGTGAATAGAATAGATATGTCTAGACTCAGGTGAATAGAATAGATATGTCTATGGTTCAGGTGAATAGAATAGATATGTGTATGGTTCAGGTGAATAGAATAGATATGTCTATGGCTCAGGTGAATAGAATAGATATGTCTAGACTCAGGTGAATAGAATAGATATGTCTAGACTCAGGTGAATAGAATAGATATGTCTATGGCTCAGGTGAATAAAATAGATTGGTGTATAGTTCAGGTAAATAGAATAGATATGTCTTTGGCTCAGGTGAATAGAATAGATATGTGTACGGTTCAGGTGAATAGAATAGATATGTGTATGGTTCAGGTGAATAGAATAGATCTGTGTATGGCTCAGGTGAATAGAATAGATATGTGTATGGCTCAGGTGAATAGAATAGATGTCTATGGCTCAGGTGAATAGAATATATATGTGCATGGTTCAGGTGAATAGAATAGATATGTGTTTGGCTCAGGTGAATAGAATAGATATGTGTATGACTCAGGTGAATAGAATAGATATGTGTATGGCTTAGGTGAATAGAATAGATGTCTATGGCTCAGGTGAATAGAATATATATGTGCATGGTTCAGGTGAATAGAATAGAGATGTGTATGGTTCAGTTGGGTAGAATAGATGGGTGTATGGCTCAGGTGAATAGAATATATATGTGTATGGTTCAGTTGGGTAGAATAGATGGGTGTATGGCTCAGGTGAATAGAATAGATGGGAGTTTGTTTATTTCGGTAGAATATTCGGAAGTATGGCTTAGGTTGAAAGCCTATATAAGAGTAACTCCGAATAATACAGTCAAACATCGGCTTGTTTTAGAAAAGGCTGTACAATTTAAACAAAATATGTAAAGGGAGAGTAATTATAAGGAAGTCAAGTTGTGATTTGGAAATATGGTAGGGTCGTGGTAGAATAGAGCGAAGCACGAGTAGCACCGAAGGGTGTTACATTAATGGGATTTGATACTATAATAGGATAAATAGAATTGTCAATGTAATTTTTTGGTTATGTATTTTTAGACACTTCTTGGGTGGCAAGACTTAAGTCGTATTTTTTTCTCAGCTTCAGTTGAAAGAAAAATCAGCTGATTAACCTGATTAAACTAGTTACCTACAAGACTTCACACTCGTGACTGATTAGATCAAGGTTAATTAAAGATGGTTGATTAAAGATGTAACCGGTGGTAGCCCTGTGCTTGCGTGATGCGCACTGGGATAGAATAATCTAGTGATAACACTGAAACGATCACATACTGTGTGGTGTGTGTAACCACACACTGTCCACACACTGTGTTCGTGTGTGGGGTTGTTAGGTTCAAGCTACATTCTCGCGTGTAGTGCATTGTATAGTATATAGTTATCTAGTCAGACTATGACCTAATATCGATAGGTGCTTTGTTGTTCGTAAGCATCTTCACATTATTGTTTATATACTTTATATATATATATATATATATATATATATATATATATATATATATATATATATATATATATATGACCTAATGCTGATATCAGAGCGTGTTATCTACTTAAAATAAGTTCATTGTTCTGATTTCATTGTTGTTGTGTTACTTCAAATGATGGCTTAAAAAGTTATTGTTTAAACTTCTCATAGTTTTGTTTTATGTTCGTATCCAGCTTTGGTATGTAACACAATCTTTTTTTTTAATTCGAATAGAACGATTGTCGTATGTAACAACTGTTCACGAAACTAAATTAGAACACAGATATTTTGAACCGAAAAATCTTCACATAAACATTCTACAGTAAATTACGTGGCTGTCTGATAATGGGCTAAAAAAATAATGACAATCTATTATGGCATACAAAGATAGTTTCGGCTTTGTTTCATTACTGCTGTTGATAAAATCTTTTTTTCCAAAATTAATGTCAAAAGAAAGCCATTTAAGCTTGCATTTATTTTCATTGTATCTTTTGAACCCGTCTTCTGTATAAAATTGTCGCGGTAGTTTTGAATAGAAAACATTACCGCTTTATGTTGTCCATTAAAAGATTTGAGAAAAACAGACAGAGAAATCAAAAGATTTCTTTTGTCTTTTTTTATCCCTGAACAAGTCTGTCTCATATATCGTGGGCATCCTGCCTCATCACAGCTGATTCATGCTCACTGACCCTACACTATCCTTATCCTAAACACATGCATCCTACATTATCCTTATCATAAACACACTCATCCCTACACTTTCCTTATCCTAAACACATGCATCCTACATTATCCTTATCCTAAACACACTAACCCTCACTATCCTTATGCTAAACACATGCATCCTACATTATCCTTATCCTAAACACACTAACCCTCACTATCCTTATGCTAAACACATGCATCCTACATTATCCTTATCCTAAACACACTAACCCTCACTATACTTATCCTAAACACACTCACCCCTACACTACCATTATCCTATATACACTAATCCCTACACTATCCTTATCCTAAATACACTCTTACATTATCCTTATCCTAAACACAATCACCCTTACATTATCCTTAACATAAAAACTCACTCCTACATTATCCTCATCCTAAACACACTCACCCTAATACTATCCTCATCCTAAACACACTCACCCTGCCTCTCACAAGCCTTTCTATCCTGGCTCATTCCAACACTACCCTCTATCTCCTAGTTCCTTCGTCCTCTCCATCTTTCATTTCTCTCTATTTACTTTGTTGTATGGGCTAGTATTTATAGCTACATTCAATCACAAAAATAACCATCATTCATGAATCAGGGCTCCATAGAGACACAACAACCGACATATTTTCACTCCTGCCCGGAATTTTTTTTTTTTCTCCATACTTTGTTGAAAGACAATTTATCCAAATCACCAATTTTCTGAACGATTAGAACCCAGATTGAACCCAATCACCAAATCTCATTTCTCTGTCAAACGGCACTAAATACTGCCAAGGTTTTCAGACATCATGCCTCGTATTTTGTACCAGCAATCAACGAATTTCGGTATAAAAACAAACAGCGGTTGATTTATCGTGAGATTATTCGGCACTATCAAAACATCCAGCGTTGAAAAGTTCACGTGAATTAATGATTACTGGGATAAAGTCGATAGAAAAAAAAAGCTTTGGGTGATAGTTTATAGAAAAACTATTTTGGCATAAGTTTACAAAGAATGACATTTTGGCACGTTTGTAAAAAAAAAAAAAGGCACTTTAGGGAATGTTGATTGAAAAAATACATTTTGTGAAGACATTTTCGGATATTTTCTGCTATGTTCAACTAGGCAGAGAAAGAGCAATAAAATTTGGAATGGACCTGGTAATTTTATTACCGTCTGCTAACCAACCCTCTCTCTACCCCCACCCCCCTCCCCCACCCCCCTACCCCCCCCCCCCCCCCCACAAATGCCGACTGGTGATCGTGTTTCTACCCTGCCCACAGCTAGAATTAATCAATTAGGCGCGGCCCAGTGAACGTTCAGTCGTGGATTTCTTTCATTAACCGGAGTTATCGGACTTTAATGCCAGCTGATGGGAGTAAATTGCTGGGAGCTGGACTCCAAATAGGATGTAAAATACTGTCCCCTTCCTTTCTTTCCTTATATATATATATATATATATATATATATATATATATATATATATATATATATATATATGTATGTATATGTATGTATGTATATGTATGTATGTATATATATATATGTGTACATATATATATCTATATATATATATATATATATATATATATATATATATATATATATATATATATATATATATATATATATATATATATATATATATATGTATATATATATATATATATACATACATATATATACATATATATACATACATATATATACATATATATATATATTATATATATATATATATATATATATATATATATATATATATATATATATATATATATATATATATATATATATATATATATATATATATATATATTGACCTGTTGCACGGTGCCATTAAGCTGTTTCCGTGTATATATTGCATCAAGCCCCACCATTAATATTTGCCTCTGACACAAGAGATAGTTATGTAGTTATGTTGTGTTGGATTACATTACGAGATTAAAAACAATTCTCTTCATTGATGTCTACCAGAAGAAATACCCGGATTATAAATATCTAAGCATGATTGACATAACGTTATACATACATTTTCAATTATGTGTTGTTAAGGTGTTTCTTATGTAACATTGATAAACCGTTGTGCTGCTAGATTGAACGGAGTTTTATATTCTTTTAAGAATTATATACAAATTAAGAGAAGGGGGACAATGGAAAGGTGAATGTAAATGGCAATATATTTTAGTGGATTGGATAGTACAGCATTTTTTCCCAGTTGTTGCAATGTTAAACTTAATAAGCGTTTAAAATGTTTTTCAAGGTTTATCCTAGCAAGCTGTTTCATTTTTTAAAAAACTGTATTATTTCAGGAACTGATGACTGAGCCGATTCAAGATGGATGACAATCCCACAAGCCCCGGCCCGGATGAACACGCCCCCTGCTCGCTGGCCCGCGAAGGTCACGTGATGAGGACCATCGTCCGCAACATGGTGGTCAACATGGAGTGCGTGCTGAGCGACCTGCAAGGCATCATGGGAGACATCCAATCGCTCGTGGTCCAGATCGATACCGTGACGGAGAAGATCGACAAGCAATGCGGCAACGATACCGGAGGGTCGCAGGGTTCACCGCACCGGGTGCAGAAACCCGTCTGCATGCACGGATCTATGACGTCAGCCGGCGTCTGCCAGCACCCGTCCTCTCAGTGCGCGTCGGATTTCCCAAAGCAGCCGTTCAATCCACTCGCAGGAACAAGCCATCAGCGCGCTAACCCCATCAGAACCCAATCGACCGTTGAGCATTGGCTTCTCAAAGGAGGGTCGGATCCCGTCCTACGCCGGGACCCATCTAGCCAGCATTGTGCCGGGCAAGCGCATCGCCACTCCAGATCGAAAAGTGGCGAGGCCGTATCGATTTTCGAAAAACGCGATCAGATGGAGAGAAATGGTTTGGGCGCTTCGAAAAGCCTGCTTCATTTCCCCAAGGAGTCTGCGGGAATTCCCGTTTCATCAAGTGGGGGAATTCCCGTTCCATCGAGCGGGGGCATCGCAGTCGTTCACCCGACAGTTCACAACAATCCCAAAGTTCCGCACGTGAACACGGACGCGGACGAGAAAATGAAAGAAAAACCCGAGCCTTTCACTTTCGTTTCGGACTTACCTCAAGGCCTGTGTATCCACCCCGTCGTACAGTGCATGCCGCTGTTGGCTCCCAAGCCGCCCCAAGCCGTGTTACCCAACACACTGCTCAAACTCAACGAGCTTTCCAACTCTTTTCAAAAGCCTTCCAAGAAGAGACACTCCGTCACGTCCGTCTACAACAAATCTTTCCAACCCGTCACGCCCACTGAGCAGCAGTCTCCGGTGACCCAACCGAAAACGGTGAACAATTTCAAAATTTCGTTAGCCTCCTCTAAAGAGAACCAGCCTCCGTTATCCAGCATTGTGTTACCGCAAGAAGCTCATCTTCGACTGTCGAGAAACGTCGCCTCTCTTCCCAGCAGTCCGCGCCTCAAAAGATCCGCCACGTGTGTTAGCCAAACTTCAAAACCAAACAGCCCTCGTATGCGACGATCGTCGACGAAAGCAATTTATTCCAAAATCGACGGGTCTACGCCTAGTACTATAGGTCGATCTTCAGGCTCGGTCAGGATACAACAACCCAGCCCTCATCACTACTATCACAGCATTGACAGCGACCTTGATTCTGACCTTGTCGAGTGGCACGATAACCGAAGCATGACGCCGGATATTGACTGGTCGTATCTTAATTTAGTCGGAAACCAAAGAACTCGCCCTCCGCTTCAGAGACTCGGCACCATCGACAGCGACGGTTATGAGAAACCCGTCATCCAACCCGCCCGCGCTTCTTATCCTTTCCAAATCCTCCAGACAAGCCCGGATGTTGTGTCTAGACTTCCGGTTTTCCGCGCGAACTCTTCGTTATCAGAAGACACGTTTCTGCGAGCCAGCCACTGTCTGGTATCGAACGTCGCCTCCATCCTGGAGAAGGTCTACAACAGCCCAGTGATGACGCATGTCTTCTGTGCAGAGGTCAGCTCGGCAGAGACCGGCTTCTACTGCGGATGTTACGAAGCCGTCGTCGACTCGGTGCTAGAAAACGTCGCCGGGTTCGAAACTTTCGAAGAAGCCTGCCAGGATTTTGATACCGAAGCGGTTGTGAACGAGTCGTATGTGAGTTTTGACGATGAGTTCGAAGAGGACGATTGGGATATGGGGCTGCGGCCGGAAGATAACGACATCGATTTGCCTTCTTTCAATATGGACGAGTTTTACGACAACGACACGTTTTTGTTCGGTAGCTTAGATGATGTAAATAAGAATATATTGGAAACTGCTGATAGTTCGATGGTAGCTAACGTGACGGGGGAAAAGAAATTAAGTCTGTATGATAACAAAGAGGAGTCCCCCAGGTTGTCGACCAAACGTAGATTGTCTCCCTCCACTGCTGATGAGAATGTGTATGACGATATGGAGCTCTTGCGCGCGATAGGAAACTCGTTTACCGACGAAGACTGCTGCGCAATGAAACCAAACCTTTCCGGTTACCATCCGAATTTTACGCTCTGGCCGAAATCTTCCTCGCGTGACGCCGCGGGTGAGAAAACGGCTGTCGGTGTTTCGGAACAGGAGATGATGTCGTTGAGCGAAACCTCATGCCAAGCGGTGGGCAGCGGCTCACCTATGTCTTTCAGCTCACCGGAAGCCGCATTCACCTCCCCGGATACGGACCGCTTCGTGACGTCATCGGAAGGCGATGACCTTCTGACCTCCCAGGAGGAGAGCTACTTCCTGTCTGAGCAACCGCCCGTGACGAGCCAGTACCACAACGTGAACGTGGCCAGTCCAAAAGCCAGCATGAAACAGCTGAGACGAGAGTTCTTCGAGTCTCTGTACACAGTCTGCGAGAGACGAGACAAAGAGCTGGGGCAGCACCTCCAGAAGAGGCTGTCGGAGGAGAGCGTCGGGTTCCCCCGGTTCGACAACAGCCGGGACGTGTCGGACGCCGACAGCTACACCGAGGACCTGAGCAGCTACAACCGGAACGTCAACACGTGGACGGCCTACGCTATGGTGCACGTGCAGGCGGACGACGTGTCCGACACGGCCTCCGACATCATCAACGACAACAACGTCACGTGCAGCATGTCCTCGTCGTACATTGACGCCGACAACATCGGGGCAGCTTCCGGTAACCAGGGACTTTCGTTTTAACTATTTTGACGTGATTTTGATATATAGGAAACAGCTTTCAGTAACCAGGGACTTTCGATTTAATTATTTTACGTGAGATTGATAAATAAGAGCAGCTGTCGGTAACTTTCGTCTTAATTATTTTGACGTGAGTTTGATATATAAGAACAGCTGTTGTTAACCAGGGACTTTCCATTTAACTATTTTGACGCGAGTTTGATATATGGGAGCAGCTATAGGTAACCAGGGACTTTCGTTTTAACTATTTTGATGTGAGTTTGATATATAGGAGCATCTTCCGGAAATGTTCGTTTTAATTATTTGACGCGTTTGATGTATGGGAGAAACTACAGGTATCCAAAGACCTACGTTTTGATTATTTGAACTTGAGCTTGAGATATACGAGACGTTTTATTTAATCAAGGGATTTGCTCTATTCTTGTGATTGTGCCTAATAGTTAAGTTCAATCAAGGGACTATTGTTTTAAATGTGTGATTTTTGCTGTAAATATGCAGGGAGCTTTATATAATAGGTTATGTTAGTTTAGGTTAGGTTAGCCTGTCACCCCTAATGGGACATAGGCGGCTGACAACATATAGTAAGTAGCCTGTTCTAAATTGTCAACTCATATCAAACAATAAAGAAATCTTTGAACATGCTAACTAAGGCAAGTAACAGCTACCAGATAAAAATAACTGTTAGTGTCATTTATGCTGATTACATCGGATTATTAATCAGGGATTATATTGGTTTAATTTTCTGAAATTAGTTTCACGTCCTTTCGTTACCATGAAATAATAATTAATTTGCTCATTCTTAATTTTTTTCACACCAAAATACACACTAATATAAAGAGGTTTTGAAACAATTTCTAATATACAACGAATGCTACACAATCAGCTATAAGCATAGACATATCATATCCCCATAACGAATCATAAAGATGTATACATCTAACATACTTTATACAGAGTTTAAATATGTACGCATGTTGCTTACATAAGTTAGAATCCATATCTCAAGATTTTTACTTTCTTAAAGACTTATTTTTCTACGATTAAAAAATATCTCTAAAATTTTCAAGATAGATACAATAATCTACCACTGAATAATTAATAACCAGCTGTCCATTTCATGATTTATGTTAATTTATATGTGGCCGGTCATACACTGGTCACCACCAATACCACGTGATGCAGGCCGGTGTTTTATTGATTTTCATCCTGCACGAGTTATTTTTAGAATTGGGCGATGTTATTGGTGTCGTGTTCATAAAATGCTGACGTTGACAGTTTGTGGTGGTGGTGGTGGTTTGATAGAGGCACGTGCCGCCCTTTTGCGAGGGGGGGGGGGGGGAATAATAATCAATAAACACGAGCATTAATAAATTATGTAAAAACAATGACGGTTAGATTATGTGGGGCGCTTGATTAGACTTTGTGTTCTAGTTAACGATTACCATAACTTCTATACAGTTTTAAAAAATGCTATGCTCTTACACGTGTGCTAAAAAGCTAGTTAAAGGCTGTAAAAGATATATAAAGCATTGCATGGCTAGGATTCGAACCCCTGAAATCATGGACTAGTAGAGTAAATGTAACTGATTTTTTTTTTTAAGTGTAAAGAGAAACGCAACTGATGTGCTTGAAATTGGAGTTAATAAACTCTAAAAAAAAAATTAACAACTAAGCATTAATAAAGACGAGTTTATATTGATGTATCTTGTCAAAAAAAGACGATTTATCTAATATTCAGAAAAAGACACAATTTTGATATGAGCATTGCCTTTAACATTTTTTTTTAGTAATGTTCATAATTGAACATTTTAAACACTGGGGAACGCTACACAACAGATTAAAATTCATAACAAGTTTGAAACGTTTCTGATACACAATTTAACTCAATTATGCTGTGAGTTATAAACTTAATAGAATATTTACTGAGGCAGCTAAAATAAAAAGATTATTTTACTAATAATCCTTACCTTGAGGGTTAACCGAATATATTGAATTACGTATATCTCCTCACATTAAATAACATTCCATTCAGCAAAGTTAAAGAAGTATTTTATCAAATATAGTTGACGCTCAAAGAGTAGAAATAGATTTTTTTTTCTAGTGATGTGTTTACTTACTTAAATCACATGCTATTGTAGCGTGTATTCTACAGATCCTGACGAATTTCTTTTACAGTTTTAAAATATAAACGCTACGATGAAATCATAATGAATATATATATATATATATATATATATATATATATATATATATATATATATATATATATATATATATATATATATATATATATATATATATATATGAATTGCCAATATTCATAAATCTATTATTCCTTGTTTTTATATAATGAAGATCCTTTTACTTTAACATTTGAATCACCTTTTCACAAGTCTGTACATTTTCTGTGTGTGATACAAATTAAAGATGACACAACTATTTATCATTGTTTCGTTGTTTTCTGCTCGTATAAAAATTGATCACTTTTAATTTTAAAAATGTGTAGATAAATATTATTTTCTTATAAGAATCTGCTACAGATTGTGAAAGCACTGTGCATTATTTATAGTTGAAGCAGTTGTGCTGTATATTGAGACCCCGGCTGGGACTTGCCGCACCCCGCCACCCCGCCTAGCTACGCCATTTCTCTAATTACGCTCGTGCACCATATTATTATTTCCACTTAGCCTCCATCACTAATCAGACGACTGTAGCGTGATCACGTGACGTTAATTATAATCGTTATTTTTGTTAATCTGGGGTCGGCTTAGGGCAAGTTAATTTGATAGGGGTTCAAAGTAATCGTCCATGATGATGTAATCCCTATGTATTTACCGTAGTATTTTATCGGGATCTCATATGCAGCCTGTTTAACACTCGAACCATTCAAATAGACAACGCGGGGATATAACGCTGTCAATAATTTAATGATTATTTCTCTCAGTTTTCCACTACATTTAGCACAATGGGAACTATGAGATCTAGTTAAAAGGAAATTTCTTTATTATACAAAACAATCATCTCACGAAAGTAAAGTTCCTTTTTCAGACCTAATAATCCATACAGTACATAAAGTAGAGTTCAAGAGGGCAGATGAAATAGAGTTCATATGTTTCTTGACCTGGGCTTATGAGGTTATGGTTTGTCAGCACGATGCGTTTCCCTAACTTGAGCCAGATACTCATCAGAGATGGGTGAACGTAGAGTCGACCTTCAGTCACAAGTCCGAGTAAAGATCCAAACTCGAACCTTAGGGCTAGCAGTTGAGCTCTCTACCACCAGACCATGCGGTCACAATGGTAATATATTACATGCCAATATTATAGTTATTCTAGTAGTCTAACATACTCCTCTTCACTTTATGAAAAAAATCACATTTTTTATTTAAATCTTAAGATCTTCTAAATGCCGGAAACTTGTTGATATCACTTCTCTTATATGTACCCTATACGCACTGATCTGTTATTGCCTTAGTTGGTATAGGATCAGTCGTACGATACCTCAAACATTTGGTTTATAATACTCACAAGAAAAACCCTGAAGCGTAATATGAACTTTAACTCTTATCCCAACCCAACCCTAACTTTACATATAATCCTTTAATGAGAGCTTAATAAATTCTTTAACATTAAACAAAAGCAACAAAAAAATGTTTACAACCCAGCTAGATGTAAACTGTATGTCAATATTTATCTGAACTCAAACACAAACCTGAACCCAACCTGCTGATGCTGCGTTTCAATCTACAACCTTATTCAAAGAAAACCACAGGGCTCAGACGTTAAGAAAATGTCCCCGTCTGGACTTTATGTCGTCTCAAGACATTCTCATCCATCTGTGGACATAACAACGTCATACCCCACCCCCTCTCCCCACACCCCTGCCCTGACCTGTGGCAGTCACATGTCCATCAGACCCCCACACAGGTCATTCTCATGTCACGTGATAGGCTGTCTTAAGATATCATGGGGGGGGGGGGGGTGGGGGTGAGCGAGCTGAAATCGATAGGTTGCATTTGGATATTGATTGACTTGAAAAATCAAGTTGTCCAATAAAGGGAGTTAATAAAATAAAGCCCAAATCAAGGTTGAAAATCTTGAATGGGATGGTGTGCAGAAATAATGGCACTAGAGCAATTAACTTGCTGGTAACTGTTAGATTGTAGATCTAACAGTTGATATATGCCCTCCACCTCCACAAATATCATTATCCACAACACAACACCACACAACTATAGTGTCCACATTTACCATCCACATCCACAAATGTTACTCTTAACAGCAGACTAAGATGATATTAATATTTACCATATGCCTAATTACTATTTTTCCTAATGCAACACACATCCTAACACACTCAATTGGCCAAAACTGACAAACAACGAATATTTTTAGTACATGGTACTTTGATAGTTGGTGGTTTATCCACATGGCTACGTGTGGTTTGTCCAAACTTACCGAAGCCTTAACCACAGGTGGTTTGTCCACATATGGGCTTTGTTGTCATGTGGTTTTTCCACAGAAACATTCTCCATAGATCTGATGGAATGTAAGTTGTGTATATTTATATCCTAACTTGTCAAGGGATACGAAGTAGCACAATTACATTTTAAGTTTCGGTATAATATATTATTATAGTTATACATCATGTAGAAATACAGGTCATCGACCCGCCCAAGTGAAGACCATTGAGATTATAGCACGTCAATACATAGGTAAGACCGATAACTCCATGAGGTTGTGCTTTTCGCAAGAAAAATGCGCAAATAGAAAAATGCATAACCGAGAACTGCGCAAACAGAAAAATGCACATATACAAATGCAATATACTAAACATTTTAATTTTGTCGTATTTTATCGGAAATTTTTTTTCTATGCTACATGTAGACATTCTTTGATAGCCTGTTATAAATGATGCATTTTAAGAAAGTAAATCCCTTTGCGTACATTTCTGTGCGCAGTTTTTCCGTTGTGCATCTTCCCAATCACCGTGCCTCTCATTCTTGAAGCAGCGGCGAGATTTATTCTCAAAATGTTTTTTAAAAACACCGGCCTGGGCTACAAATTTCAAAATTTAAATATCATTTTTTTTTTGTAACTTCCTCATGACAGAGGCTGACAGAATAATTTCAAATCATCCGATAGTTTTTTCATTACATTCTAAGCAAAATTAATTTTCTCTTATCATTATTTCCGCACAGAAATAACACTTGTACTGGACAACTCACACCTAGAACAAATCTAAGGAACTTATCCATTGAAACATGTATGAGAACTAAGCGACAAGTTTCCGTTGATAAGTTGTTAGAACCATTGATGAGTACTTTAATATTCGAGCACTTCATATCTAGCTTGGAAAAAAAAAATCTTGTTCTGTTTGAGAGTTTTTATATGAGAACCAGGAAGAGTTAAATATGAAGAGTTTTAACACAGTTTTTTTCAAAGCATTAAAAGCTTATGTAAATGAATCATTAAAAAAAATGTTTTTAAGTTACAATATGCATGCTGTTAGAGATAGAAAAATCCTTTAATATTTAAAGAACCCTCACTTTATCTTTAAGCACAATATTTTGTAGGCTTAGCGAATTCTATGTGTTGGGTAAGGCAAGGCTTTACTGCTAACAGATTCTCTGCAAAGATTTTCAAAGAACAAGCGCCCTCAAATAACCTTGACACAGGGTTGATCGACAGTTTTATATTCTAGAGTTATCTTCTCATTCTGCAAGCCCCGTGTTTTGTTCGAGAGTTATCTTCTCATTGTGAAGTGTGACGTAATGAAATCTAGCTTAGCTATTTTCACAAGTTAAAATTTTGGTGAAGATTTTTTATTATAAAGGTTTTTTTATGTGTTAGGACATTCATAGTTTTATGCTAACGATTGTCATCGTCAGCTTCAGTAGAACATACTAGTTTAAGCTATGAACAGTATAGCTTAAAGCTAAGAATGGTATAGCTTGAAACTACGAGCAGTCTTGCTCGGTTGCTATATATAAAGCATATATTAAAGCTATGAAAAGCATTGTTGGAAAATACACAGCTTTTAACATCACTGTTAAATGCTAGAACCAGTGGCGTAGCGAGGTCGGGTGCCACCCGGTGTGGCACTTAATGGTGTCACCCCCCCAGAGGCGTAGCGACCCTTCCCGGGGACAAACATTCATATTTTCATTTTGCACCCCCCCCCCTTAAACTTTCGATTTGCACTCCCCGCCTCAAGTTTTTCTCTATATATTTAGCTATTTTTTGCCTTGGTGTCACCCCCCCCCCCCTAAATGGTGTCACCCGGTGCGTTCCGAACCCCCCGCCCCCCCTCGCTACGCCCCTGGCTAGAACC